CCTTGAAAATACTCCCTGTTGCCTCACTCCTGACTTCCAACCCTTTGCTTGCGTCCTAAACAAGCACTGAATTTCCTTGGATTCTAAAAATAATATTACACCCGAAAGGAATTATATCTATTTAAGAAGGTGGTTTTCACATCAATTGTCATTTTGCGGTAAGGCAAAGTAAAAGCAAGTGTATTTGTACTTGCTGTGGCATCTTCCGCTGAAAAAACAGTCACAAATGAAAACTTCCTTAAAGACACCCAATAGTGTTTTCCTTGTGGTATCTTTCATATCACACATCATTCTGAACAACAAAAAAAAGTGAATTTAACTGGTTTCTTAAAAATTCACCACTAAAATGAGTCTCAGCTATGCAGTAATTCTAAAACCAGAAGACAACATTGCAGCAAAACATCAGGGAACTTAACCTGCCACAAGCTACTAAAGCATCTTCCATTCATATTTACCATACCACCGTGAATTTAAAAAAAAACCCTACCCCTCCTCGTATTTGTACAAACTCAAGTTTAAAGACAAGCAACTTAGTCCCAAGATTATCAGACCAGGCAATACAGCCTGGGAACTCCTGGCTTTGCTCCTCTGGCTGTTGAGTACTCTCTCTATCAACTGAACTCAACAGAAGATGTGAACGCTCAGTATGTCTGCAATAATTCCTTCTGAAATTACAGAACATGAACATTCGCAGCAAGACAAAAGATTTCCCAAACCTGGCCTAAGCCTCCAAAAGCATAAGATAAATCTGAACTCAAAACAGAACAGAACTGAGCAGTAAAGAGTTAGGATCAAAGCTCCAACACAAGTTTAAACACAAAGTGACAAGATGGCAGATCTTATAAAAGCCGTTGCAACATCAGAAGTTCATCCAGTCAAAAGCTGCAGGCAACCCCACTGTAGTCTTCATGCTTTTAAGTCATAAATAACTTTTAAAGAAGGAAAAATTATCCTGATTGCTTTCTCACTAAGAATATTCTACACATATTGTTAGTGAGAAAAAGTGAAACTTGTTAGCTCCCCAACAAATGGAAGTTACCACTTGCATTCACAGACAGTTATGGGAGAAAGGAAAGTTGACAAGCATTCATGTTTAAGACTAACAGATAGCTTGTTTCATTATCTCCAAATCTTACTGGACATCCTTGTGTACTGAAACATGGGGGTTGGGGGCGAGGGGGGGAACCACACACACAAAACCAAGGCCACCCAAGAACAAACAAACAAAAAAAAAACCCTACCAGAACTACAGACATCAGACACAGGGGCCGGGGGGATATCACCAGACTAACCCACTTCCCTCTCAGTATCACAGAGAATTAGGCATAACAAAAACTATGAAGTTTGACCAGGAACGGAGTGTGCATTTTTGTTCTCAAAATCTGAAGCATATTATATCAGGTAGATGCTAAATAGCACGTTTGAACCACAGATGGTTTTCCCAACTCATGACTAGTCCCGTCTGTCATCATTTTTATTCCCTGCCAGTGTTCTATGAGGCTCCCACAGGTTTCAAACCAACAGGTTTCAAAGTGGTTTCCCAGCTGCAGAAATAGTCCGTGTATTTCTTAAAAGCATGCTGAGAAGTCCCCATAGCAGAGCAGTACTCCCGTCATACCTTTGGTACTGGTGTTACTTAGCTCTCTCCTCAAGAACATATGAGACTATTAACACGTTATCGGAAGTGATTTTGAAAGACAATATTAACCTTACAGTGAAACGCACGTTACGGAAGTACTGAAGCAATGGCAGATCAGAAAGGACATGACCATTTCTTGAAGTGCCACTTCTTGTTGACAGTTTCCCTAAGATACAACACATCACAGTCATATTTTACCTCTCAATTCCACAAAGCTATCTACATGAATCCCAGAAAGCTTGAAGGAATCCAGTACCACAGAAACAGTAAAGACAAAAAAGGATAAATGTTACCCATGAGAGTTTCTAACACAGTTAAGCTGGATTGATCAAATCATTTAACTTCTTCCCACACAGCCAGCCTTAACGTGCCATTTGACTTTTTGACTGCAGAGACAGACCTAGAAAGCTACCTATGCTCCTCCAGTTGCCCTCAATGCTTGGGAACAAAATCCACTGCTCTTCCTTCCAACCTCACCTTATCCTAATACAACTACTGATACAACTCACAAAGGGAATGACCAATCTCCATAACGTCACAGCTCTGCTTCATGTGAAGCAACACACAGTCACAAAACGGTAGGATGGCAATAGAGATTACAGAGAAATCAGCACTAATAAGTAAAGCTTCATCACAAGGATTTTATGGTCATTGGTGAAATGCAATTGTTCTTTAGGAAAGCAAGAGAGCTGTTCCTCTAGTATAAGTTTTAGTAGAACTGATTCATCTTAACATCAAGATAAACTTGTGATGGAAGTATAAGCTAATGCAACAAAGTATGCTACTTTACCTGCCATAACTGCTGGAACTGCAAAGAGCACGCATCGGAAAACAATTACTGGTTTCTCCAAGTCACAAGATCTAGACACTAGAATACAAAGCTGCTCTGAAATTATTTGCAACATCTGCTTCTGGAGTAGTATGACTTCATCAAGTTATAAGTAATCTCACCCCATTTTCCACATTGGAATTTGTGAAACTGAAGCAGGCAAAACAGCTTTAACTACAAAGATGTTGTTTCTTATACAACTTGAGTAAGATGAAAGGGAGTAAAAGCCCATTTACAGGGAATACACCACTTCAATATTCGCTTCTACCCTCTTTGCCTCCTGCCATCTGTCTGTCAACTGAAGGAAGCTTGAACACTAAACTAGAAGAAACTGCCAGACTTCATAGAATCAGTTTCTAGTTCCACAATAAACATAAAATCATATCTAATTATGATTTAATATCTTACTGGAAAAAGCAAGTTAAATCTCAGTTTACTTCAAGAATTAAACTCAGTGATACTCTAGTCTCATCGCCAGAATGGCCCTCAGTACCTTTTACCCTGCAGGATAGCACACGTGTATCGGACAGCATGTGCTTTCCCATTTTTAACTCCCTCCTCTTTCTTTTTTTTTTTTTTAAATGCAAGCTTCTATTCTTTGTTTTCGTCAGTAAAACACCACCATCAACTCCTATGCCTGAACTGCACCTAGAAGAACAGGAAATACAGGGTAAAACTCATGCACTAAGCCAAAAACTTTTAGTTTATGACAACCAACACGATAATGTACTTAATTAGTAGGCGACATTTCAAAGCTGTTGACTTTAAATTCCCTGCTTCACTTGACATATTTAGCTGAAGGCAAAACAAGACTGTTTTCCTGTTGGCGTCTCGCACTGCAAGAGAAATCAAGTGTCCTTTCCACTGTACATCTTTGCTTTCCCCCAACAGTAAAAATCCGTGACAAACACCCTGAAGATTAATTTTTGCTAGTATAATCAGCATCAAGGGTTTTTTTGGTTTAGTCAATTTTACAAGTTCCTTTTATGGATGATGTCAGTAAGAAAAAATAATCTAACAGAGAAATTAAAGAACTCAGAGCAGGCAAAAGTAAACAAAACAATGATACTATTTCCATGTGAAAAAACATGCAAAATTGCCAGCAACTCTGACATCATATCCTTTGCATGCTGAAAACATGAGAAACCACTCAAAAAAATCTTTTTCAAGGTACTAAAACATACTGCAATACACTTCCCACATAGTTTTGCAAACAGCTTTAATGTGTTGTACAAGACCAATGCTGACAAACAGAAGCTTCAGCTTTTGTTGTTAATATCCTGAGCAATTAATGCA